CTCTTTCTCTCTCTCTCTCTCTCTCTCTCTCTCTCATCATTTGGGGCATAAATATATTAGCGAAATATTTTTTACATAAAACTCCTATTAAGACAACTAAATGAATAAAGAATTAATTAGGGATTGCTGTAAACGCTCACAAATTATATGATACCATATACTTATAGTTAAAATTAAAACTTTCTCTTAAATTAATCTCCGATTACTTCCTATAAATACGGCGAAAGATATTTAAAAGTCAATTTTAAACCATTTGTAAAACTAATACGTTTAACGTAAACTAAGTATAGGAATAATGTAAATTAAATCGTGTTATAAGTAACAGATACTTGATAATTTCAAATTTTAAATCCATTATAAACGTTATCAATAGTAATATAATTAGCGAGCATATGTGTGTATTTTAAAATTATTATCTCTGTAAATGTATGCCATCAACGAAAACAGAGTACATATAATAATTAAATGAATTAATGTACACATTTCTCTAATGATTATTACCCATGTATTTATGTTAAATACACAGCACTTTTTTAATCTCTTAAACTGACTTTTATTATGTTTTGTCGCTCAATGTAATCAAAATTTTACAGATCATAAACTTTTCATTTTATTACAAATATATATTATAGAAATACAGGGACACTAAGACCTAGAGGGATGGGTAGTTATGATAATACTGTACCTCGTTAAGTGTATTTTTGCAGTGTTCATAAACTATTTGACTGTTTTATAATATAAACATTATGTTTGCTATATTTATTGTTACCAAAATATAAGTGCACTCATAAAATGCAAATTACTAGTTAATTATTATTTGAATATTTTTTATGACTTTTTTGTTGTCTTATTTATATCGCACACAATATTTACATAATATTTTGATTTGAACAGAAAATCTTTTGTTTATTTTTTTATCGGTTATTGTCTCGCGATATGAATTAGCAATTAATTTGTTTATCTTTTTAATAACAGGTCTTTAAAAAATAAAAGAAATATTTATTACCTATTATTACATTTGACTGCAGAGTTAGTGGTGTGTCTTAATTAGTATGACTAGGATTTTGAAGTCTTTATTATTATTTATTATGTTTTTCTGTAGAGAGAGAGAGAGAGAGAGAGAGAGAGAGAGAGCAAACTTTAAACACAAAAAACTATATTATGCTTATTTGTTATAAAACTAATTTTGAAGACAATTTAATATTTGCCTTCATTTTTATAGTCCACGCGATTTCCTAATTATATTTATATATAAGTCATTCGTTGACCAAACCTTGGATTTGATGTGTATTTCGGATTTAATGCATACTTCAATCAAACGCTTGATTTATTAGGCAATTATTTTATAGCCTAAACAAATATAGGACTCCAGACAACTAGGTTGTTTTAGTCTATACAATTTATATAATATTAAATTCAAAACTACGATTTTAGAAAACTATATTTAACAAATACTCTCATGCTGAATTAATGTAACTATTAGTATATTTTAATTTTAAAAATCATTAATCTTTTTACTACAAATTAACTGCCCTATGTTAGGTTTAGAAAATCTTAATCTAATTACAATATAATTTAAAATTAAATTAATATTATATGAGAAAACTTATCATTAAAAACTTTACTAAAATACTTTCTTACTATAAACTTCTATATATAAATTGTATGTTTATATTGATTGTATGTGACTCTAAACATTTATAAACTAAATATAATGCAATTTGTATATTTTTATGAAATATACGAGATGGAAACTATAAAATAAATCACATATAATTATTTTATAGTAAAAACAATTATAAATGTGCGTTTAATCTCTACCGTATATTGAATATTGATTTTAATTTACTTTTCATTTACCAAATGTATATAATTATATGAAAAATAGTGCATTTAATTGGAAACAAAATTCATTTCACGTCAAAACCCATTGATTTCCCGAGAGATGTGATTAAACTATTAATGATTTCACTTTTCCTATGGTTTATATAAAGCTTTTGACAAAGCTTATATTAAGTAAATATTGATTTGAATTAAGACTGACACTCCTTATAATTATTGAAATTTTAAAGCTAAAATTAAATTAATTACAATTTTCCCATTAATTGAATCACACAAAACAAACACCGTATAAAATATTTAATTATGTATAAAATAAATAAAACATTTTAATCAAAATTAAATCACTTATGTTTTTTGTAAATCTAGTATAAGCTTAAAAATACATAAAATATATTTAATTCAAAGTCTGATTGAGTTTCGACTGATATTTGTGTCGCTTATCCATCGGCACGTAATTGAACGGAAAAAATCTGTACAACATTTTGCTTATATAACTCTTGCTCTTCAGACCCCTGGGCTCCTGATCGGCGTTGGGAAAGGCTTTGACGCACTGATCGGACTTGGGATCCAATTCCTCACCGAAACTGCAGACCATCTCAAAGAAGCCGAAATGGATTTGATCGAAGAAAACCTCAAACTTTTGTCGCGCCTCCGGTCCGCAGTTGTCTAACGCCAGGGCGTCGGTACACAACTCCTTGCGCCGGTGGGCGCAGCATAGGGTCGATCGCCAGTCGTGTACCCCATCGGTGGCCAAGTGCTCGAAGGCCAGCAAATAGTTGTTAAGGCAGGGGATGGCGGCGTCCACTCCGATCACGTTCTCGTATATACACTGGCCGTGCGATACGTACGCTATTGATTGAGATATTATTTAAGGTGAGTGATTATGGGGATAGGGGGCTGGTATGGGGCATACTCTGGCGCTCGAGTCCGTCCTGACATATGAAAGCCCGGAATCGCTTCTGCATCTGATCGGTCACCAAATCAAACAGTTCCCTATGGAGTGGTGTTCCGCACCGTTTGATGTGACCGTAGATGCAATCCAGGGTTTTGTTGAAACCACTGATTGATTAGATGGAGATTTAATGGTGTATTTCCAGTGGAGATGGATGTATAGGGAGAGCGAGAGAGAGGTTTTAGTTAAATGAACGCAACATAAGAAATAACATTAAAATAAAAGATTATGTTTTCAACAGTAAATGACAGCAAAACAGACGAGAAAATTGAAAGTAAAGGAAAGAAAAAAAGTAATTTTGATTAATAGCCGCAATTTAATTCATGAAATATATATATATATATTAGACTTGTTTTGTTGTAGGCTTTTATGTGTATTGTTTTTGCAAATACACGTTAGTTTTTTTATACTGTTGTACTTTTGTGTACAGAAAATGCATTATAACTGAGAAATTACTGTCAGAAAATAAGTTTATTACTCTTTATTAAGATTTTTGAGTTTTAATTGTCAGCCGAGAGAGAGAGAGAGAGAGAGAGAGAGAGAGAGAGCTGTGTCAGGAAAACAATGTGTTGTAATATAATTGTCTTAAAATATATAGTATCCCATATATTGCACTATTTTTTGGGATTTTTTCTCATTGTTTTAAATGGTACTGTACTTATTCTGTATTTTATTATACGATATGCTATATATTGTATACAATTTACAGTAATTATAGTAATCCGTCAAATTCATTGTCATTGTTTTTGCTATTCTGATGGGACGGCAGTGTGTTTTAAATTTTGATTAATTAGCTATCAAACTCTAATCCATTTAACTTTTATACAGACTTAGAGGGAGGGAGAGAGCGGATGATATGAAAACAATATATTCACAATATTATAACATTTGTCGTTTACAAGCATGATGAAAATGCAAATTAAAAGTATAGTGTCTATCTCACTATTGTTTTTTTTATAAATTTGGTTAGTATTGCAGTGTTTAACTTATAAAGTATATTGTATTATATACAGTATATCAATAATTAAAATAGTCAAACAGTAAAAGAATATTATATAAAAGTATACTGTATTACTAAATGTATAAGACAATTTTTGGCGCTATTTTCATATCACACAAATTTAATATATTTTTAGATATTAATGTAATGATCAATATTTTCTCAACATTTATATAATATATTTGATATAAATTCGGAACATTAAATAAATAATATCTTTTTTGATAGCAAAAAATAAAACACATTTTGTTTTTCAGTACTCAAAGGAAATGTTATCCCATTAACTAATGAGTTAAGTTAGAGTAAAGTGTGTGTGTGTGTGTGTGTGTGTGTGTGTGTGTGTGTGTGGACCAGAATTATGCCAAACGTATTCGATGTCATAATATAGG